AAAGTCACTCCAATAGTGCTCCTTAATTACGCTTTCATCCTCCTTTAACAAAATACTTCACATTCATCCAGTTTGTGACAGTAGTTGTAGCATTTTTGAGACTTTTAAACTTGAATTACCGCTGTTGCACCCCCCCCTTGTGTGTGTGTGTGTGTGTGTGTGTGTGTGTGTGTGTGTGTGTGTGTGTGTGTGTGTGTGTGTGTGTGTGTGTGTGTGTGTGTGTGTGTGTGTGTGTGGCGCAACTTCCAACAGGAGTCATTTGTTGGGAACCCCTGAACTAGGTGATGTGTTAATGCAAAAATATATAAGAAAAATTGTAATTTTAAACTAAGATGTATTTATTGTTTTAATTGAAACATTAAAAAACATTTGTAGTTTTGACTCAGGAAAGTTATTTCTTAACCTTGGACATAGCAGTTTAACAGATTCATCATAACTCAAAGTTTTTAACCACTCTTTAGGCTTTCATTAGTGGATGGGGTTTACTCAGTCAATATGGAGAGGTTCCATTCTGATGTGATGACAGCACAGCAAGATATGCATGCTGATAAAGACCATATGAAGGTGAAAGTACAGGAAACAACTAGTAAGTGGAACTTGAGTGAAGGTTATTTAGTTTAAATTAATTGTATAATGACCAAAGACATACTATGACCAGATTGGACCAGATTGGTCACATGTCTGGTGTTGCAAGCAGCAACTGAACAAATATTCTCACATTAAAATTCTTGTTCTCACCTGCGCAGAGTCTTGTTAAGTGCCAACAGCTTTCCCAACACCTCAGCCCCTGTCGATCTCAGGTTGTTACCCTGTAAAAACACATGTTGCATCAACAGAATACCAACCTGTCTCATGAAAGAAAACAAATTAGGGTCTGACAGTACGGACAATTTCATTTGTGCATGCGCCACCTTCAGATCCAAGACTTTTACAGTTGTGTTGCCTGACAGTCCACTTAGAAGTACTTTTGCACCTGAGAGTCACACAAGCATGAAAAGACACTGTTATACATGATGTTAACATTAATGTCATCAAAGTCAATACACCAGCATTAATTATTCCTCTAAAATTACTAACACACAAATGAGCCGCACAGTTGCATTGACATGTTTCTCCATTAACATCAACACAGACTAGTTTATTTTGATTCACACCTATACACCTATCTGCTGCCATAAATACATATAATATATAATAAATATACATATATAATACATATAGCTGTATAAACACCAGTTGTTGATTAATCCGCCCATACAAATAATCCCCACAAAATGCACTATTTCTTCCTGTTTGTGTAGACTTTGTTTAAATGTACTGTGTCCTATTGTTTAGGGAAACTATTGAGACTATATTAGGATTTCTACGTTCAATGGAACCAATGGGTTTCGAACTGAGAGCAAAAGACAGGGTAAGAAAGTCAGAAAGTCGTTGGTTTGGGTCTTTTTCTTCATTGAAATAGCTACAGTAAATTTGCATACCACTGAATTATATGGGGAATCAAAACATGCGTATACTTGAATTTAAATGTATGCTTGACACCTGCTGTAAAACTGAACCACTTACAATATAATACACTAAGCTCATTTAGGCTGTTCGTGGATCTTAATATTGACGCACCTTCCTCGCTGAGCATACAGTCACTGAGCAGCACCTCTGTGAAGACGGTGTCTCTTTGGAAGGCCCTGGCCAGCACGGAGCAGGTCTCTGCAGACAGGCTCTGTCCACTCAGGTCCAGGCTGGACCCCTGAGCCCCCCCCCCCTGGAGCCGGGCCACCATGCTCTCCTGAGGCTCCACACCGCTCTCCTTACAAAGACGAAGGTATGTCCGCCTGAAATCCTCCATTGTGCATCACCACTCGCTCCTTTTCAGCTGAGTTGTCCCACAATCTCTTAACGTCTTCCTTCTTTCCTCTGGAGAAGAAAAGAGTGAATTAGGAGTGAAATGATTCATTGAAAGAACATGTCAATTTTCAAGACACAAAGCCAGCCATGCTCTAGTAACGTTTGGACTTTGATGATTTGGTGCTTTTCTATGACTGGTGGGATTGTAAGGTGAATATTATTGGGTTTTGGACTGGAGGGTAGACAAAACTGATAAATTAAAAAGACTGATAAATTAATTAAGGCTGCATGATCTGGGAACATTTTACGTATTGCCATAATTTTGTATTGATAATTGTTAGAAATTAAAATCAATTTTGATATGGCGTAATTTGAATTAAATATACTATTTAATTTAAATCATTTTTATTCTGAAAAACCGGAAGTTCACACTATTAACTTAACACTTTTATTCTGAAAATTCTTCATTTCCGGCTAGCATTAGCATGGGGCGAAATGCTACGTTTTCAAATCGTGAATTGAAGGTGAAATGACATGTTGTACACTAAACAGACTGGGATTAGCACTCATTTATTGAGGCTGAATAACATTTATTAGGGAATGTTTAAATAACCACAGACACCAGAATGATGTAATTTAGCAACAGAAAAAGGCAGGAATTGCATTGGACCCGCCCCCCACGACGCCGGCCAATAGGAGAAGACCTCAGATGACAACAGGAAGAGCAAGCCAATAATTGATCTCTTCTACGGTTATGGCTAGAAAGGATCCGTCTTGTGTAAAACGCTCGCGAGAGTTTGCAAGTCACATGGCTGAATGTTTACTTTTGGCAGGCAGCCTTTCAGTTACGATCGTTAACATCAGTTGGCCACAGCAAATGATGGTGAGAAGCTAAACTAACTTAATGCAAATTACAGTGAGTGAGATTGTTGAAATAGGGTGTTAGCGGTCTTGCTGTTCAAAGTAGAATAACAACACTGTAGATCACCAACACTATGGTTTATTTTTTATTCACAGGCAAGTCAACGTTGTCGCAGTAAAAGTCC